CACATGTCCGTCATTCCCCCACACGTCCCTGCATCCACATGTCCATCATACATCCACACGTCCCTGCATCCACATGTCCGTCATACATCCACACGTCCCTGCATCCACATGTCCATCATGCATCCACATGTCCGTCATACATCCACATGTCCCTACATCCACATGTCCGTGATGCATCCACACGTCCCTGCATCCACATGTCCGTCATACATCCACATGTCCCTACATCCACATGTCCGTCATACATCCACGTGTCCGTCATACATCCACATGTCCCTGCACCCACATGTCCGTCATACATCCACATGTCCCTACATCCGCATGTCCGTCATACATCCACACGTCCCTGCATCCACATGTCCGTCATACATCCACATGTCTGTCATGCATCCACACGTCCCTGCATCCACATGTCCGTCATGCATCCACACGTCCCTGCATCCACATGTCCATCATACATCCACGTCCCTGCATCCACATGTCCGTCATACATCCACACGTCCCTGCATCCACATGTCCGTCATACATCCACACGTCCCTGCATCCACACGTCTGTCATACATCCACACGTCCATCATACATCCACACGTCCGTCATACATCCACACATCCGTCATACATCCACATGTCCGTCATACATCCACACGTCCCTGCATCCACATGTCCATCATACATCCACACGTCCTACATGCACGTCTGTCATACATCCACATGTCCGTCATTCACCCACACGTTCCTGCATCCACATGTCCTTCATTCACCCACACGTCCCTGCATCCACATGTCCGTCATACATCCACACATCCGTGCATCCACATGTCCGTCATACATCCACATGTCCCTGCATCCACATGTCCATCAGACATCCACACATCCGTGCATCCACATGTCCGTCATACATCCACACGTCCCTGCATCCACATGTCCGTCATACATCCACACATCCGTCATACATCCACATGTCCGTCATACATCCACATGTCCCTGCATCCACATGTCCATCAGACATCCACACGTCCCTGCATCCACATGTCCGTCATACATCCACACGTCCCTACATCCACTCATCCGTCAAGTCGCAGTGGAAGGGGAATCAGTGAATTCCATGTCGTCTCTGTCCTTGAGGAACTCACATCCTTTTCTCTCACCCTCAGCTCTTCTGGAAAATGCCCTCAGAGCCATCAAAGATACAGGATGGAGGAAGTGACAGAAGAGGAAAGAGGCCCCGGAGAGACAGGTAAATCAAAGCTGGGGTCAGAGGTCAGGGCTCGAGACCACCGTTCAAGTTCATTACTCTGTGGAGCAAAGTTGACACTGGTTTCTGTCAAACAAATTTACGTTTCCACCTCAGCCAGCTTAGGTGGTGCGAATAACAAGCTGGCATTCGAATGCTGATTTAAAAAAAGGGATGGGAAAGGCATTTTATAATTAATCGGGTTATGGTTATGGACACCCAATTAAGAAAAAAATAAAGTTGTTCCTGAATATGAAGGACAGGACAAGGGTTTGGGCTTTAAAGTCACATGGGCTTTCTCTTTTGCTCCAGCCCGTTTTTCTTTTCCCCCATTAATGGATTAATCTAGACTCTAGGTTCCAGAGCCAGTGTGCTTTGTCTGGGGGGGGCCTGTGTCAATATGGACTTGCCCTTCTGATCCTTGAGGGTTGATACTGATTGCTGTGTATTTACTCACTGATTAAATGCTAATTTGGGGGCTGCTGTGTTGATCGACATGGACTTGATTTCTGTCCTCAGTCCCCGAGAAGGAAGTGAAGCCAGGCTCTGGAAAACAGTGAAAGGATATGGGGAAAGCCTAGAGGTTGTCCACAGTGAGGACACAGGCAGATGCTGTGGTCCAAATGTTTGTGTGCCCTCAAAATTCATGTTGAAAACTAACCTCCAAAGGGATGGCATTAGGAGGTGGAACCTTTGGGAGGTGTTTAAGCCATGATGGCAGAACCCTCATGAATGGGATTAGTGCCCTTATGAAAGAGGTCCCTTGTTCCTTCTGCCACGTGAGGACACAGCAAGAAGACACCATCCATGAACCAGGAAATGGGCTCTCACCAGATGCCAAATCTGTTGGCACCTCGATCTTGGACTTTTCAGTCTGCACATCTTTGAGAAATAAATTTCTATTGTTCATAAGCTACTCTGTTTATGATATTCTTTTATAACGGCCCAAACTGACTAAGACAGCCGAGGAGTCGTAACCAAGAGAGATACAGAAGAAGGTAGAGGTTGGAAGAACGGGAGTCAAGGAAGCCAGGAAATCCAAGGGGCACTAGTCACCAGGGTCGAAGGCAGGGACTCAACCAGAAGAACGAAAGCTGCAGAAGGGTCCGTGGAGCTGGCGGTCGGGGTGGCTGGCTTCCTTTAGGGGAGCAGCTTCAAGAGAAAAGCAGGTGGAGGCCGGGTGTGCAGGGCTGGGCAGAGTGGGAAGGACGGCAGGGCGGGCCCTTTCGTCCTCTCCTCAGGGAAGAGTGGCAGGGCAGCCTGCAGGGCACTGTCCGGCCCACGCTCGAGGGGACGAGAATTAGGTTTCTCTTGAAGAAGAGAGTATCGGAGGAGTATCAAATAATTTGTAGGCCTATTTTAAAACCAGCGCAGCACAGAACTGAACAGTGCAGTGTTCCCAAGTGTTTGGAGGTTTGGAAGAGGGTCTGGGAAGTCCCCTGTGGTAGGAAGAATAATGTCCCCCCATGATGTCCATGTTCTAATTCCCTGAATCTGTGAACATATTATGTTAGATAGCAAAGGGAAATTAAGGTTGCTTATCACTTAATGTAAAATAAGATTATTATTCTGGATAATCCAGGCAGGCTCAATGTAAGCACAAGTGTCCCTAAAAGTGGCAGAGGGAGGCACAGAAGAGTCAGTGTCAGAGTGACGCAGCAGGAGAAAAACTGGACCACTCGTTGCTGGCTTTGAGGATGGGAGGGGGCCATGAGCCAAGGAACGCAGGCAGCCGCTGGAGGCTGGAAAAGGCAGGGAAGCAGAGTCTCCCCCACAGCCTCCACAGTCAAGGCATGCAGACCTGCTGACACCTTGATTTCAGTCCCGCGAGACCCGATGTAGACCCTTCCTTATTGTCTTAAGCCACTAAAGTCGTGGTAATCTGTTACAGCAGCCATATAAACTAACGCAGGGCTGCACCCACCCTTCTTTCCCCATCCTCATCCACTTCTGCTTTTCCTCACATTCTGTGATTATTGTACTCATTTATATGTGATTTATACTGTTATGCATATTTGCCATCTCTCCTTTAAAACTACGAGCTCCCTGAGGGCAAGACCCATGTTGTGTTTTGGGTTTTGTATTTTATTTTATTTACCTTTTTGCCTAACCTGTATTACCTCAGAATGGTTTTCATTTTTAAAATGTGTATCTGTGACACCAAGTACATCGCTAATTACTATGTCACCATTAAGAACTTGACCAATTATTTATTGG